CTTAGCACATTTAAAATTTTTTTTAAACTGCGCATGATACTTATCGCCACTGACTTCTGTGAGACAATTGATAATAAACTAGTAAAAACATGCAAATATTATGAATTTAGGGTATTTTCTGGGAGGTTCTTGCTTGTGGGAGTGCTAGAGGCCGTCCTGATTCTGGGAGAGTTTTGTGACTTACGGTAGTCTAGGGACCTGTGAAAATAACCAGCTCTCCACTCCCAAGCACCATAAAGAAAATTCATTGTAGATCATCAATGGTTAATATACAGCAGTTCTCCACTCCCAAACCCCATATTAGAGAGACTAGTATTAAAACAACTATGGTTCTAAGTACTATAGTTAGGTTCTATGATTGAATATTGTGAAAATCAATTAAAATATTTCTGATTTTGTTTAGTCATATTCACCTGAAGAATTAAAAGATTGGGTTCAAGCTATCTGTGGAGCCATCTTAGCAGCAAGGGCGAAAGGGGGAAGTTCAGGAAATAATGTAAGTATTACATTAATTGTCACAAAAGGGACAATTGGCAGTGACAATAAAAAGGGAAACGGCAGCAATTTCACATGTTTTGTAGAGTCAATTTGCAGAGCATGGACCTATTAGTATGAGGAGGGATTGGTGTTTGAAAACCTTTTTTCATGGTGAACATAAGCAGAGAAAATTAACACTGACACCTCCAACTGGGGTCATAATAGTTTGACTTTACCAGTTTGATCTCATAATAAATTACTGTCTTTTTAACTGCCATTTTATTGTATTACAGTATAATATATATTTTCAATTCTTGATGTTTTCCATTTTATTGTATTAACTCCTTTTGATGTATTTATTCATATTATATGGTTAAAAGGTTATATTCATATAACCTTTTTTTTAAAATTGTATCATTGGTTTTGAATTTTACAATTATTTTATTTATTTATTATTAGTGTAATATTATTATTTTTTTAAATTTTGTTTTGTTACTAATGTTATAATTATCATTTTTTTAAATGTTTTACTCTGTAATCCAGAAAGTTATTTTTCAATTTTTTTACCAATAATTTATCTTGACTTTTACTTTGACTGACAATTCAAAAGGGGTGCTAAACAGGATTATGATCAATATATTATGATATAATTAGTAATGATTTGTGGTAGTAATAATTACAATCACTAATTATTTTGGTCAGTAATGATTGCTGTCTAATAATTATCATCATCATTGATTATGATACATGTATATCATAAGTATATAATGACTAATAGTAACAATAATTGTGATCAGTTATTATTATGATAAGTAATCAGATATGATGATTATGACTGTGAATGTTTATGATTAGTTGTGAATATTTTTTTCTATTTTGTTTTTCATACCAATACACATCCATGCATGAAATATTGAACAGCTATTTTTATAATTCATTTTAGTTTATTTGTTTTTATTATTTTGCTATTTCTTTGATTGTATTTCGCAGTTTATGATTGCCGAGTCAGAGTTACTCTGAACCCAACGACATTTGCATGATATTCCAGGTTTATATTTTTGTTATTGTCAGATCATCCACATCCTTTGCATAAATCTATCAATTTCTCTTTGTTTGATTGAAATTCTGAATAATATATCCACTGTTTTAACTAATGAGCTTATCTATATTTTGCCCCATCGATACTTGCAATATATTCAAAATAAAGGAATGCTTAGGCAAACAGCACTGCATGCAGAAATTTAACCTTAGTTTTTATTTAAATAATCCCAACCTAAATTTTAAGAATAAATTTCTGTTTTTGTTGCTTAGTCTCTTGTACCCCAGATGTTAGTTACCAGCACACTCCCTGCTCTGTCCTGGCCTGCTAGGTCATTGTCACAACCTGATCCTACTGAAAATAAAACTCATCCCTTTTCGCAACTTTCCCAGAGAGGGACACTACAGATTACGTCAAAGGTTAGAATTTTGCATATTAAAATATAATTTGCATATTAAAATATAATGTCAGAGTATAGCGGGTGTGTTTCAGTATGCAATAATTTGTTTCCAGTGAAGTTTGCAAAGTGGATTTTACAACTATCATTCCAATTGATTAAAACTGTCTGAAATTATTTCTTGTGTGGTTTCATTAGTTCTGTCTGCAATTCTTTGTTTTTCAGAATAGACACTTTCTTTTAAAATCAAGTATAAAATAAAAATATATTAACAAACTGAAAGGTGGTCAAAACAAATTGACTTTTTAATATTATGATAAAAAACTATAAGATAAAATCTTCTACCCTCAAGTTATTAGGGCTCTAAATATTAGGTAATGTTAGTTTTGTACATTGTATCTTTGTAAGCGTTTGTTCTCCCTTTTAGCTGTGTTTTATGTACAGAGCAAAGCAAATTTCTGTGTTCTGAGCAATGACAGTAAATATGATTGAGATAGAGATATCTATAGGTTTGAAAAAAAACTTTCATAATTTGTCACTCATATATTCTATATCTATAGACATTCTGATCTTTGTGTTAAGATGAGCAATTCTATTGATTTATTTTTTTTATTGTTTCAAGTGCTGTATCTTAATGACAAAATTACCAATATTATAA